CCGAAGCAGACAAAACTGATATCGCAACAGGCAGCTTGGGTGCAACAAGCGCAAGTCATTGACTGCTCAACATCGTGTACTTGTAAGCAAATGTTAACCCTATGTGTTCACCCCTAATCATTTTGGCCTATGGTCTTTCATTATACAAAAGAAGTGCAGACGACATAATGACATACTGTTTGACAACAGGCTCTCCCTTTCAATTTTCGTTAGATAAAAAGAGATAACAGGTGGTACCCCCTGCCTTAATCTAGTACATATGAGTAGATAGTGTTGCCGTGAGGTACACTCGAAAATTTTAAATGTAAGTGCGTCAAATCAAATTTCGAGCCGCTCCGTCCGTCACTTCATTTGTGCTAGGAGAGCCTTTTGCTGAACAAAATGAAGTGATTTGCTGTGTCTGCAATGTATTTACACTGTACAATTTGAGTTATTCCCCTGCAAACTATTGAAAGATAGCAATGACGTCATTAGTCGACATTCAAACTTGATGTTTACAACCGAGAGTATATTACCATAGAGGTAACTCTAAGACAAGTAGGTCCCGAAGAAACGTGCTCAACTTTTTGGCTCACCTCTGGTACTATCTTCGGTCCCAAGCTTGTCGAATCACCCCTCGAAACATAGGAAAAACCAATAACCCCTCATTTTATCTGTCAAACTTTCATAGCGAATCAAAACAAACATTGCGTAGTACTAGAATTTCGACTAGAATAGGGTACGTTAATCGTTTGCTTGGGACCAATAGGCTACTAAAGTGGTGAGCCAATTTAAAATCGTTAGTTTCGTATTGATTGTTGATATTACCTTGTTCATGTATACCGTGATTGAGTGTATTCGTTATAGCTACACTGTTAAAATTGTTTACTTTGTAGCTTTCCGTTTGACAGTTAATATCATTAATATTTATATTAAAAACTATAATAATTACTAATTTGAGCAATTTTTACACCAAATATTACTTCAGATTAAGTTGTACTTCCCCTAGAGCATAACAATACTCTTAAATAAAGCACATGAAACTGATTTAGGGTAGCCACTTATTTTCTTAGAGTGAAATTTTTTTCAACGAACGAAAATAAAATCGATGTATAGGGGAAACCTCGAGGGGAACAGCGTTAGAAGCCACACAACAATAGGCTAACGTACCGCAACAATAGGGCTGTTTCCCCTATATGTATATTGCAAGTTTCTATAGTTGAGCTTCCAAAAAATAGCAACAATGAAAAAAAAAAAAACTATACATCAGTACGTTTATTTTGGGGTAAATTTTGGGCCGGATATTGGGGAATTGCGCGTTACTCTCTGTCATATGTTTCAAATAACATGAAGTTAATTTTGTTAACAAATAAGATAGAGTGCTCTTACCGTCAGCAAGAGAATCCCTGGCCAGGTACTCCAGCAGCTGAAGAGAATAATGATCTCTTAGATTGCATATGTTAATATACTTTCGAAACACTACAAGAAAGAGATCCCAGGTATCGTAAAGCTTGTTGGAGTTGCTCGTCTTTCCATAAATGTATTCAAAATCAGTATCTATCTGAAAACCAAAATAAAGAAGTTTTAAACATTTTGTTAAACTTTTTGTTATTAAAATCTCCAATTAAATTTGCTTCTAAAGTTACCAGTAAATAACCGTTTCGGTCTGCAAGGCCAATCATTAAGAATATTTGACTTGTTAACGTCCGTTTCATGCAGTATGCTTTTCAAGCGAATCAAAGTAGACTGTTTCCACCGTTGTTGAATTTCGTCAAACGGATCAAGATTATTTCTTAGCCAGTTTTTGTCTGATGATAGTCCCTCAATTTCTGTATAAATAAAACAATGTTTTACTGATTACATTACAACACTGCTTTCAAACGTCAATGTTGATAGTATCTCGATGAACATTTCAAATGGTCCTATCTGCTTTGATCGATTCTCTTCATCAACTTTCTCTTTTCATAACCACTGTTATGCAAACAGATTTTGCGCTAATTCTACCACATAGTTTGATAAAGGAGGTTCTTATCTCGCGTCCAAAACGTCAAATACAACAGTGAAAGGTTTTGCAGCTGAGTTATTGACGAAAGAGAAAGTCGATGAAGAGAATTGATCAATGCAGATAGGACCTTTTGAAATGTTATCTGTTTGTTTTTAATGAACATCCCAGATATAAAAAAATACCCTCAATTAGGGTGCAGCTAGAGTGGACGTCACGCGCGATGCGTGATAATTTAAGCAAATTAGAATTAATCAATTTGGGAATTGTTTTAATAAAACGATATTTCATACCTAGCTTAGCAACTCACCGTCTGATGAAAGATTGGATACCTTTGCCTTACACTCTTTCCAGTGATCAATAATTGTTGCTCGCCGGCTTATGAGTGATTTTTTGTTTCTGTTGTGGAATCTGTCGTATAATAGTCCTGAAGGGTGCATCTTATTGGCTGTGAAGTCACGCGGGTTCTAGTAGGTTTCCTGAAATAACCGAAATATTAGAATATGTATAACCGTGATAAACAGCTGAAAAATTACAGCTATTTCAGGTGGGAATCGCGCAGCAATCTATTGTGCGAAACGTTCCATGTCAGCAAGGTTGAAGTAATTATCGTTGGCAATATAGTAGTCGACTACAGTATGGGCCAAAAAGCGCTTGTGCTCAACATCTAGCCTGTGATTAGCTTTGTAGTGTTGGGTGACTATTTTCCCTTTTCGTTTCTCTGCAATATGTCGAGAAACAAATTGTTTGTCACAGCTGTAGGGAGCAATTTGCGTTTGAAAGGTCCTGGCTGAGTATTGTAGACGTTTTCCTGTTGAGAACTCGACGGAGTTGGTTCGTTCAGCTGGTTGATGGAAGGTGGTCGAAATAATACGCTTTCATCCCAATGTTCCAGCTTAGAACGTAGCGAATGTTTGTGTCCGGTCCATTTTATTACCGAAAACACATCGTTCAATGCCTTTTCGTCAAGGTCTTTCAAATACGACAAGGTTATTCCGTGGTCTGCAATTGTGCATGTTATAAATAGTCAATCGAATAATTGTTTCAACTTACTAATTAGGATGGCATAAACAGTGGGATCCAGATCCCAATCCTCTACCAAAAGATTCCGGAGCTCCGGTATTTCATCTGCCTCTAAGCCCAAAATAAATATCCATTGAATTTATAATACGCTATGTTTATATTTATGTATTCTTACCGTTGATGAGCTCCACATCAGCAATCATATCGTCAATAATTATTTCCACTTTTTCGTCTGCCATTAGCTCCAACTTAAAAAACAACAGCTTCCGCTGATGTGTACTTGTCAACTGCTCTTTTTTTCAAAATGGTGGTTATGCAAGAATCTGCAGTTACCATGGTTCGCTATGAAATAGTAATCACTTTATTTTTCCATTGAACATTATTTCTGTTGATATTACTATATGCAGATGGCAACATGGTAAATTTGAAGTTATTATTTTAACCATGAATGTTATTAATTTTAAGGGGAGCATAGTAATTTTGTTGAAATCATCTCGGAAATCATAGTCGTTTTGAAATAAATTTTGATAGATTTTACTATGAACTGGCGTGGTATAATTAAACACGTTTCTACACAGCAAAAAAAAAAATGTAATATCGATCAATGGGCCGTATGAATAAAAAGAGTTTACTTTACTTTCCCGTGCTTTTCTTACGGGGAAAGTAAAGTAAACGCTTTTATTCATACGACCTAATGTAATTCAAGCTGATGTATGAAATGATGATGTAATAGCAAAAAGCAGATACAGTATTACATCAATGGATGTAATTTTGTTCGCAAAATCGATGTACATCGTACAACGTTATATCAACAATCAATACGAAACTAACGATTTTAAATTGGCTCACCACTTTAGTAGCCTATTGGTCCCAAGCAAACGATTAACGTACCCTATTCTAGTTGAAATTCTATTACTACACTATGTTTGTTTTGATTCGCTATGAAAGTTTGACAGATAACATCAGGGGTGTGTGGATTCATGCAGAACATGCAGGGGTGAGTGAAATAGCTTGGGACTGCTTGGGACCGTTGTTCTGGTACTGAGTGAGCCAAAAATAATAATGATTTTCTTCGGGACCCAGTGGTCTTAGAGTTACCTCTATGGTTATATTACACAACTGATGGATTGACCTGGTTGCAGCAGTTTGGATGTAATATTCAACAACTTTTTTTTCTGTGTATGGTATGTGGTACTACACTATTTTTATCAGTGTAAAATGAGTATTTCGGATTTCCATTGAACCCATGTTCAATTTACTCATTAATGATTATCTTAAAGTTACAGTGTAAAACGGACAGTTTGGCTGTCAAAGATTTGTTAAGTGCTATTTTATCGATGTCAATCATACAAGGTCTGGAACAACAGGCAGCTTGCTAGTGTTAGAAGCAAAAATGTTGTAAACATTGCTGAGCAAGCGAATGCCGATGTCACGGCAGCACAACATTCCATACTGCGATTAGCAGACGTGTCGTCACAGAAAACAGCTGTTTCGTGTAAAAAGATAAACATTGCGATGAAATACGACACCACTAGACATTAAATTTATTAAAATTTAATAAATTTAATATTATTTTCACATTTCACTAATACCAATAAGCCGGTTGGGCCAGACCTTGTATAATTGACATCGCTATTTTATAACTGTTTGTTTACCAGTCTATTTTTCCTGTTCGTAAAATTTATAATGCAGTACCTAATTGCATCTATGCTATTGAATTATATTTTTTTTTGTAAAACACTATCCTGTTGGTAAGATCAATGAAAAATCATAGATGTTTTAAATCTTTGCTACTGTGCTATCTATAGTTGTCGCGCAACGCAACGCTTAACAGCAGATTTTATATTGCTAAGTAGTTGTCTATGAGTTCTACGGGTTCTCTTGGTTCTCCTGTTCGATTCGCAATCAACATTCATCCTCATCCAACCACAGGTGCTAATTGAACACACAATACATACCCAACTGCTTACTCCCAAGCAAAACAAGTTTATCTTTAATGGCTTTCCCATCATCAAATGCGCAAGGTAAGAATTGCTGGGTCCCGTTTAGGTGATCAGTAATGTTACAAATTTAATTTCCATCACACGTAGCTGACGTTACCAAAAAGATTCTGGAAGATATCCAAATCAAAAAGCAACTCTTGCAGAAGGGCGTGAGTCCAGTGACTCCGAATATCAGCACTACTCCAGCTGGTCTCACGATTCCGCAGGTAAGTTACTCTCGAGAACAAACACGTTTTATGTAGCTTTGATGATATCATCCTTTCTCTTAGTATATTCAAGCAACCAGTCAATCTCAGTCTAATCCACCAGCGGATAATTCTATCAACGCAACGACCAAGGCAGTGTGGAATCAAGCTCTCAGTCAGTCGTACGGGTTTTTCATTCCACAAGACTCGCTGTTCGGGAATAGTATTATTCCCGTATTACCCCGATTCGATAACACACCTGCGGCTGGTACTGGCTCAGGAGGTGCCGCTGCATCAAGCGGAAGTAAATAATGGCATGTTTGAAGTTGAAAAAGTTTGAGGAATTTCTGCAAACGGTTGACGGTTTCGAGAATCCTAAAGTAACGTTGGAACAGTACATTACTCCGTCCCACATAGCGAGTCACATGCTGTACACGATTCAGACCAACTATGACGATTTGGAAAACAAATTGGTCCTTGATTTGGGATGCGGGGCTGGTATGTTGAGCGTGGGAGCATCGCTACTCGGTGCTGCACACGTTGTCGGCGTTGAAATCGATTCGGATGCGATTGAGGTGAGTTGATAAAGATTATTTATGTCAATGATAGTTACATACATAGTGATTTTTGTCTGACTAGCAGTAGCGTTCCTGGAAAATATTAATTGATACCAAGGTTGCAAAGACTCATTTCAGCTAAAATAATGTTTTTCGGAATAATAAAACCAAAAGATGGTATGATGGCATGTTTTACTTGTAACTTACAAGAAGAGGTTACAAAGTATGCGTTGGAAACATAAAACCTGTAAATTTTGCTTTCTATGAGCCACAATCAGCGATTTGCTGATCGCTGAGTGAGTGAGTGAGTGAGTGAGTGAGTTTGTGAAAAATCGCTGATTGTGACTCTCATGAAGTGAAATAAACAGGTTTAATATGTCAAACACATTCTTTGCAACCTCTTCTTGTATCCTACCAATTCAAAATTTGATCATGGCATCTAATTATTTCATAATTTAGAAAAACATTGTTTTAGCTGAAATGAGTCTTTGCAACCTTGATTGATACATTTACTATGATTACACTAAATTTCCTGTTACTTTACAAACAGCGTAAATGTAGGCTTCGGCACCCATTGACTGTTTTCGGCAACAAAAATTTATACGGTAATTTAACTGTTTTTTCTCTTTTTTCTGAATGTATTCAACGGATTCCTTAAACTTGCAGCTTCAATCTGATAAGGGTTTTAGGGCTGAGCAAACGCATTTTTACAGTTATTTCTTGAAATGAAACACGCACTACAAAATGCTGCTGATTTCGAGTTGCCGATAATACAGCAGTAGATTAATAAGCAGATCAAATGGAAAGATTGCCGAAGAAAAAGAGGCTGCCGACAATAGTTACACTCAGTTTTGAACATTTCTATCAATTAGAATAGATAAAACATCAAGCAGCAGCTGAATGTAAACAACCAAACACGGAAAATGTGTGCTTTATATACATAAAAAGCCCATAGTAGCGCTAGAACATTCTTAGGCTGTTCCAATAGGGGAATTTTCTATTAAATTTTCAAATAACCCTGCTATTCCAGCGTACGAAATAGAATACACCTTTTTGCTCGTTCCAAAAATTGGTTGCTCTGTCTTAATAATTTTTTTTTCACTCAGTACCAGCCGCAGTACATTTTGTTTGAGCTCACTTTAACATTTCCCAGTGACAGGGTTGTTACAGCTGGCGCGGAATTTGCGTTTGGTGTGGACTTTGCTGGACGTTTTAATAGCTCTGTGGCGCGGATTTTACGGAAAGCTTTCAAATAAAATGAAACCATTGTTATGATTGATTTTTCAACTATCGATTTTATTCAAGTGGACATATCAACTATTAAAAATACGTCGCTCAGCAAGTTTCTGATTCATTTTGTTAATAATAATTACTATACAAATGATTTTATTGTATTTTTATTTCTAGATTCTTATAATTATTAATAATTCTCATCTAATTTACTCAGCTATTTAAAAAAGTGAATTGGTTGCTGGATAAATTCATTGGACTTTAAGTTCAATGAATAGTGAAAAGTGCAACGAATATTCATCCATCTTAATATCCCAAGTAACAAGTTTGGTTTTATGAGGGTTCTGTAGAACATGATTTGGACTTGTAGAATGTTATAAAACCTCTATAAAGCTTACAATGTTACTTGGGATAGGTCATGAGTGGCAATATATTGCGTTAGCGTTAGCGTTGTTATGATATACTTCGTAGATTTGATACTAGCGACACTCACGTCTCTTCTGAAATTCTCAGTTAGACTACTTTCAGGAATAATGCTGGGGAGTAAACATTGGTTCCAATCTAAACAAGAGTAACAGAAGCATGACCGTCGCTATTCCCATCTTTACCATAACTAGGGATAGGGAAGGAAATGTTGATGTAGTACTTACTTAACGATAGGCCACCGACTTAGCGACACCCTCATAAGTGCTACGGAGTTGGAGGGTTGGGTAGGGTATTCGGTTAGGATTCACCTCAAGTTGGCGATGCAACCAAAAGTATGTATTGTTTATTTGTTGTTTATTTAATCTCTCGATAGCCGGCTATCGAAAGAACACATTCATTTTGTTTAGTGATCATGAATTTTAAGAGTCCTGACGGAGAGGTTGGGATTAAACCCATGATGGTCATGAGTGGCAATATATTGCTTTTCGAAAACTAAACTTTCCTAAAACCTTGAGGAATCCCGGGGTAAGCGGAACTTCAGAAACCAAGACAGGCAACTAACTCCCTGAAACAACCTGTAAAATCTGGAATTTTAAAAGTCCTGGAAAATTCTGGAATCATCAGGGAATTTTGTCGCTAATCAGGTAATTTGGTAAAATAAGTTTATTGGAGTTGTTGAATCTGTTTCTTTTTTTTCTATTCATAAGGTGCAAAGTTTTGAAAGTCCTTCTAAACTAACTTCTAAACCCTCTTCATAGACCTAAAAAAAAAGTTTTAGTAGATAGCAAGAAGATTGATGAAGATTTTGTTACTGTAAAAAAAGTGGAGAGCGATGCGAGTAGATGGAATTAGATGCAAGAGATGAAAAAAGATTTCTAGTAGATAGATTCGCAGGCGTGAGATTTTTCGACCATCTAAAATTGTGATTTAGATGTGTCGCACCCTAGGTATATTCAGAGTTTGGGGAAAGTTTTTTTTTTCATTTCGTTTATTTGGTAGGCTCAAATGTCGTGAAAGCAACTCAACGGAGCTAAGTAACATGGAATAAAAACAAAAATTGTATTCAAAATACATATTATTACTAGTTTTTCTTCCTAGGCGGCGACTTAGCGAATCTCGCCCGTGCTCGCCACTTCCGTTTTTGCTACTGTTTCTGAACGTCGGTTTCAGTTGTTTGTTCTCAACTACTCTCCTCGGCCGTCGGGGTAGTCGCGTCCATTTCGACCACCCAAGCAACACATATGTTCTATAACAGTTCATATAACCTTTCTGGTTATATCAGTTACTCAACATAATTCTATGAATTTGTGTTACTTAGGCACATTTTCCTCCAGCACGTGTAACTCTTTTTCCGTTGTCTGGTCCATTGTTCACTCTTTGGTCAATGCAAGACAGCTTTTATTTATTTCATGCTTTCGTATATAAGGCAATCGACACAAAGGAGAGATCAACGATGCCCTATAGGAGAATACAATCGGTTCGTTAAGCGTTTTCTAAAATAAATTTATCTCTCTCTATCTTTCTCTCTCGAAGATTTTCAAGAGTAACATTGAAGGATTCGAACTAGACAACGTAGATTGTGTGCAGTGGGATGTACTAGGAATGGAGGGGATTGATTTTGACCGCAAGTTCGACACGGTACTTATGAATCCACCATTTGGAACAAAGCAAAACAGTGGTATTGATATGAAATTCCTTCGTATTGGCCTTGCACTTGCTAAACATAGAGTATATTCACTTCACAAAACGTCCACTAGGTAAGTTACCTAAAACAAAAAAAAAACAAAGCTTTCCGAAATCTTTTCTAACACTTGTATTATTGTATTTTTAGAGAACACATAAAGAAAAAAGCTATTGAATGGAACGTTAAAGCCAACGTTGTTGCAGAATTGAAATACAACCTTCCTCAGACTTATAAGTTTCACAAACGTTCAAGTGTGGATATCGCTGTAGATTTATGGCGGTTTGAAATGAGTAAATAGCATTGAAAACATTGCAATTATTTTATAATCTTTTTTGCATGCAATTACTAATAAAACAACAAGATTGCTTTGTAATAAAACAAAACATCGTTGATTCTCGAGAAAAAAGGTTGGTCATCCTACGTTCATAAAAGAGAAGAAGCCCTTTCATCACAGTTTAATATACATCTCAAGATTTATTCAAAAACAAGTCCCTGTGCCAACGGTAAATCAGGAGAATGGTTTACAGTGATCGTTGATCGACGAACGTATTGCTTCCAAGCATCGGATCCTGATTCACGACCACCACCGGTATGCTTCTCGCCTCCGAATGCACCTCCGATTTCCGCTCCAGACGGAGACGTGTTGATGTTGACAATTCCACAGTCGGATCCACCCTCACCGATCCACTGTAATTAGATAAAAACATGTTTTAACTTCAATCAGTCTATAGGGTCATGTGGAACATAGTGATAAAGGGGGACTTTAATAACGTAGCACATTTTTATCCAATTTTGAACCATTCGTTCCTCATAGCGTATTGGCCTATATTTTATACACGGCTGTTTATAACTTTTGAAAACCTTCACTCAAAAAATTCCAAACATTTGTAATGACGAATTTCCATGTGAAAGTCCACATGATTTTCATGTCAACACACATAAACACAATCCACTCAGAAGTAGACATGACATTTATGTGTCAAATGAATTGTATGTGTTTTCACACATGGCTTTTATGTGTACATTAATAGCGAATTCGTTTATTATCGGGGTTTTGGAACCAGTTCCAACCCAGTGCGAAAACGAACTTTTTGTCAATGCGAACCTCAACCTGAGCTAGGTTTTAAAAACAAACGAGCAAACTGACGTTTGCCAGAAAACAAGCAGACCCAATCTTGATATCCGATCCAGGTTGGAACTGAATAATAAACGAATTCGCTATAAGGCTCTGAGTCATTTCGTGGATTATTTTAACTTTTGGATAAAATTGGGTAGATGGAAAGTTATCGATTAACCCTGCTATCCGAGCGTGGTTATTTCCGAGTGAACACTTCAGGAAGACTGGAGGAAACTTTCAAAACCTCACCCAGTGCCGTAAGTGCCAGGGATGGGGTCACGGAACTAAAAATTGCTACATGCCAGCTAAATGCATGAATTGTGGTGATTCCTCTCACACAAAGGACGACTGTCCTATGAAGGAAGATCCTAAGAAATTTATATGTTCAAATTGTGGTAAAAACCACAAATCCAATTTTTTGAATGTAAGACTCGCAAAGCGATCCTTCAATCTTGATCTAAGCGACAGGTAGGAAACGCTCCACGTTTCCGACAGGTACAAATTACTCTGCTGTTAACAACGGTCAGCGAGGAACAAATTCTACATTCGTACCCGAGGTACAAATATCACCCCTGATTCAAATTTATCATCTATACCTACTCCCCTCGCTGCTAACAATGTTCAGCGAGTTAATGGAGCTACCTATGCTGCTATTGCAGCGGGTAGTAATCAAAAAACTAACCAACGTTCTACCGGAAATTTTGACAATTTTGACTTAGGAAGCATTACTGCCCCTAAAATGGAATTTTTACAGAAATCATTAATTGACATGATTGATGCTATTCAAACTGGAGTAAAATGTGCAAACAATTTTGTCATGACTTTAAAATTCAGTAATGGATTTTAAAGCATTAAATATTTTAAATTGGAATGCTCGATCTCTTAAAGATAATGAAGACGAGCTATTTAACTTTTTGAGAGTTCATAACGTGCATATTGCCGTTATAACTGAAACGTTCCTTAAACCTGACGCACATTATTTCATTTATAGAAATGATCGTATTGATGGACCCTGTGGAGGCGTTGCCATCATTGTTCATAGACGAATCAATCATAAAATTCGTTCTTCATTTGAAACCAAAGTTTTTGAAACTTTGGGAGTTTCTGTTGAAACAAAATTTGGACTACCTCGCTGCGGTTCTCTGCGTCTTGTAACGGCCAGAATCGAGGTCCCGAAGAAATGATCTCTCTCTCTCTCTCTCTCTCTCTCTCTCTCTCTCTCTCTCTCTCTCTCTCTCTCTCTCTCTCTCTCTCTCTCTCTCTCTCTCTCTCTCTCTCTCTCTCTCTCTCTCTCTCTCTCTCTCTCTCTCTCTCTCTCTCTCTCTCTCTCTCTCTCTCTCTCTCTCTCTCTCTCTCTCTCTATATCTCTCTCTCTATCTCTCTCTCTCTCTCACTCTCTCTCTCTCTCTCTCTCTCTCTCTCTCTCTCTCTCTCTCTCTCTCGCTTTTTGTTGCACCGAATAACCAACGAAAGTCATCTTCTGCGCTGCTGCATCCAACTTCGTCCGGTTTTGCTTCGGGATCCACACATAAGCGTCTGCACCAAAAACTTGAAGGTGACCCAGGTCCGGTTTTTCTCCCCACCATGTGTCGATTTTGAAGATAGTTCGATGTGTTCATAGCCTCCGCCCAGTTAAGCCTTGCATCCAGCAGCATACACCGCGCCATTTCGTTCAAAGAGCGGTTCTTGCGTTCTGCTGTCCCGTTCTGTTGCGGGGTGTGTGGAGTAGTGAACTGCTGCCTGATTCCTTCTTTCTTGAAAAAACTCTCCAGTGACCTGTTCTTGAACTCACCACCATTGTCGGAACGCACAATCTTCGGCGGTCGGCCAAACGTCGTCTTCACTTCCATCACAAAATCTCTCAGCTTCTCCTCAGCATCCGATTTCTCCCGCAGGAAAAACACATTTGTGTAGCGAGAATAATCGTCGGTGACGGTGAGATAGTACCGACATCCTCCTGGTGTGACATTCTTCATCGGACCACACACGTCCACGTGGATGAGGTCCAAAGGCTCTTTCGATCGTTTCTTAGACTTCTTCGGCAACAGAAGTCTCGCCAATTTTCCTTTTTGACAGCACTTGCAAACAGACCGTATACCACAGTCTTCGATTTTCATTCCGGTTACTAGCTCCTTTTACCCATCTTCCTGTGCCACACGTGTTGGCAGTTTTGCGTGTGCGATTTCACCCCGGTCTTCAAAGCGTTGTGGGCGTTTTTTATGACGTACAAACCACTGGACACAGTTGCCACTGCTGCAAATTGCGCTCCTTTCATGATTCTGCACCTTCCGCCTTTCGCTACCAGCTTGCGCACCGAGATCAGATTCGTCTCTAGATTCCGTATAAACAGGGTATCTGAAAGCGTAATTGTTCGTTTGTTACCTTCCAGATTGCAGCAGTCCACTTCGCACGTTCATTTGTCCTTCGCAGCTGTCATCGTCCCGTCGGCTAACGTGACGTTTTCCTTTACTGCTTCGTCCAGCTCAAGGAAGGATTTCCTCTCGGTGCACATGTGCGATGTCGCCCCAGAGTCAACGATCCAGTTTCCGGTTTCACCAGTCCCTTTCGCCGTGAAAGCACAGTTGTCATTTTTCGCTTCTCGAACCGCCTTCGCTTTGGATGGATTCTTCCGGTGATTCTGGTCGCTTCTGCTTTCTCCTTCTTGATCGCTTGCTAGCTTCCGACAGTCCCGCTGCTTATGACCCGGCTTCTGGCAATAATGACAGACGATTACCTTCTTACCAGATCCAGCCTTCAGAATGGTCTCCGCGTTGTAGCTACCATGTTTCGTCACTTCGTCGACCAGCTTGGTTTTCACGAGCTCCAGCGTCAATTCATCGTCCGCCCGACTCTCCAACGCGGTCGTCAGCGTGTTGAACGATTTTGGTTGACTACTGAGCACCAACGCAACCTGTAGCTTTTCGTCCAGCTTCAATCCTGACACGGAAAGACGTTCGAAAACTTCCTCCATTTCGTTCACGTGCTTCTCCATGTCCTCGCCTTCACAGTACCGTTTGGAAATCAAGTTCCGCAGATACGATACCTTCGATGTCAACGTCGGTTTCTCGAAATGGTCCTTCAGCTTTTCCCACGCTTCATGAGCCGTTTTCGTCTGCTTGATGAGACCATGCTGGTTTGTCTCCATCAAAAGACCGATTGTCGCTCGTGCACGCTGGTCCCCATAGTTCCAGGCTTCGATAGCGGCCGCATTTCCCGGGTCACGTTCCGTCGCAGCTCGTGCTTCTGGTCTTACCCGGTGACGTATTTCCATAGATCTTCACGAATCAGCAGCAGTTCGGTGCTGAACTTCCAGTTGCTGTAATTCGTTCCGTTCAACTTCGGGACTTAAATTTTCTCCATTTTACCTGGTTTCAATGAAAATTTTCTTCCGTTGTTGATCCGTTTCTTTGCAACCCAAGCGCTGGGCCCATAACCTCTTGGAGGTTAAAGAGAAGTACAACCTGCTTGGTTGGTGGTCTAACAGTAACTAACTTTATTTTTTGAGAGAATACAAATTAATAATAGCATGGCTTGATTCAATGTCGTTCTTGTTTCTACTTCAACACTTAGGACCTAATGCAATATTCAGCTTGAATTGTTTCGCTTAGCTGTAAACAGAAAATCGATGAAGAGAATCGAACATTACGCTCACTGTCGAATTTCAGAGCCTAGCACTGAAAATAAACTCGACGGTACCTCTATTTATGCTAAGAGATAAGCATTGCAAGTCCCTCCTACTTGAAGAAATATGCAAAAAAAACTGGGGTTGTATAAACCGTTCTATAGCATAATTTTCCAAGTATTTCTTTCATAGCTAATCTAAAAGCATAAATAGAGGTACCGTCTGATAGTTTATCACATTTATCCTTTTTATCACCACAGAAACACCCCGTTCCCGTTTTCTTATGCAAAATAATGCGCAAAACGCACGAAATCTTTTAAAAAAACCATATTAAGATTTTTTTAATTCAATCAATAGATTAAAGATGTACCGAGAATTAAATGGAGGGATTTCAAGCTAAAATGTTCTGATCGCGAAATATTGACTATCAATACCGAAATTTCGCATAAATGTCCAACCCATTTTGTGTGGTGTGTGCTGCTGTATTTCAGTGTTGCCCAATGATTAGGGAACTTTCATAAATAACGTAGTAGTTGAGGAAGGTGAGGGGTTTCAGAAGTTGGGACCGGCCATGTATTAGGTGTATTAAGGCTGAAAATCTCGTTTTACTTACGACACCAAAACTGAACGTGTGTTCAAGGTTGTCATGAAAGGACTGCCCAGTGGTGAATCCCTGGATCAGATCAAAGATGAACTGGCAAAATTACTTGGAGCTGTGCCACTCCAAGTAATCAAAATAAAAATTAAATCCCGTCCTGGCGATTCGCGCAACGGGATTTCTAATGATTTTTATTTAGTTCACTTCAAGTCTAGTGAACTAAACAACATTAAGGCCTTAGAAAAACTAGCCTTATGCTCCATGTCCGAGTGAAGTGGGAACACTTCAGGAAGACTGGAGGAAATTTCCAAAACCTCACTCAGTGCCGTAAGTGCCAGGGATGGGGTCAC